TTTGAAATGCTCGACCATGGTTTCGATCCGGTGCTGGCCGCCGTCCAAACACCGGTTAATCTCATGCAAAGGCTGGTCCATACCTGCAATACGCTAGTCGACAGCTTCAAAACGCTGACAGATCTCGGCAAAACAACCATCTGTGCTCTGTGTCAACGCCGAAATTTAGGGTAACATCCCTTCCCTGTACTCAAAGGCGGGCGGGTTCAACGTGTTACCCGTGAGGGGTGCGAGGATGGCCCGTTCATGGGGGCTGTTTCAGTGTTTTCGGCCATCGGGTGAGGTCGGGAAAGCTGTGAGTAGTTATTGCAGCTGAGCGTATTGGTTAGACTCTTGCAGTGTTCCAAGCAGTCCAGTCTGTCTGTCTTTGAGGTAAACAGGACGGACTATAGCCGGTGGTCAGTCTATTTGGAAGTGCCCCGGACTGCTAGAACTGGGCGGACCACGGTGGACTACGGTCCTACTTCCTCAAATCGTGGGGACAAAAACATAGTCACCGGCAGTCCCCTTCAGTATCAGGAGGTCCCTCAGGACCACCGCTTCCAACCCTTTATCCCCCGTAGGGCCCGCCGTCCTATAATCTCTCTGCCCGGGCCGAATAGCACCCGCTCGTCGCGCCCCGTGCCCCTGTACAGACTGGAACACTGGACTCTTGCACGAGAGTTGGATGAAAGTTTCTGCAATATAGTGAGCAAGCCACCCCCCCAGCACCTAATTCAGTTACCCGAGAATGACTCACTAAGATGCCAACGAAAAAAAAACAACTCGCTAAAAAGCCGCTTGTGTCGTTCTCCAGAAGGTGGAGCACTGGGTGCCTTTTGTCTGAATACCGCACTGAGACGCCCGTCCTGTGTATTGGAAATCACCGGTATCATACTATGAGTACCTGCTTTGTTGCCCTAGCTCAGTTGAACGAACTGGAGACCTTTTCGGAGGCCTTGCACGATTTGTACAATACAGCGTTGAAGTGAGTTGACAAGCATGATGGAATGTTCTAGAGGTTATTTCATGCGAATGTATTTCAGATGGACATGGCAGGAAAGGGAACGGGCGGCACGAGGGGGAAGCAGGGACGGTGATTGGTTACAGAAAGAAGGGTAGACCGAAGCCAGTAGAATCTTGAAGAACAAACAGCAGAGAGGAGAGGGGTAGAAGGAGAAAGGAGGGCACGACAAAGATGAGGGAGAATGGTCATGAAGCAAGGGGACATCCCACAAGCGTACATAAAGTCGCGTGTTCTCAGACTGGAAGAGTCAGGAAAGCGGGGACAGAAAAGAGAGTCATCGGAGAGTCAGAATCGAGTTACAACCCGAGGTAAACGGCAGAGAGCTTCCAGTCCGCAGAAGTGACGACATTCGATCACGATTTACAAAATTGTGCAGGAGTCCGGCTGCCGCCAAGCCCTAGCGCGGGGTTGTGACTTGCGTTTCAGTGCGAACATGGGTTCTTCATGTGTAAAAATAGACACGTCAAGGATAGGGTTGGGGAAAGTTAGCGGGAGTGAGAGCGATTGTAATATTTCTGGGTACAGGAAGCGGGACGGTTGACATTTAGGGAGGGCAGAGGGGCTATTGCCCAACATGTCGGAGCTCTGCGAACCACTGCAGAGACAAACGAAGAGCGATTCCCATGGAGTATGGGGAGGTGGTTTCAAGGTCCAGACAGTGGCAACACGATTCTGGTCACTGAAAATGCTAAAATAAGGACGACCCCGCTAGCAACAGTCCTCTCTCCAAGTCTATATCAGAGGGCCTCAAGGATACGCAAATACCCTCAACCATATCTCGCCAGGTTGAATTCCTCCTCGAGTGCGCTATGATTGACGTCGGAAATTTGGAAGAGGAGGAGGCTCAATCGTTATTTTCTGAACACCTTCGTCCGTGGAGCGATTTGAGTAATGGAGAGCGAGAGGTAGTTACTGTCAAATGTAGAAGATGTACGGTAACTTATACATTTGTGGCCTCACCATCACTGCATTAGTTCAGACAATCCCGATATATTCACTAGAAGTATGATATATCGGATATTGATGGTGGGACATGGCTGTCACGGATATGTATTGGATATTTCAGAGTCCGCTGCTCGTTGAGAGCATGAGACGTTGGTGGATTTGATATGTGGTTAGTTAGTTAGTTTCTCTTCTGTTTCTTTTGGTTTCATTTTTCTCGACCTTCTCCATGAAGATCATGTGCTTTCCTTTAGTAATTTACACTCATCGGAAATTCCTATTCTTCATTATCACATAGGTCGGTCGATTCGTTCGTTCTTTGTTACCCTTTATTTTCATCCCGCGGTGACACAAACTCGATCGCTACTCTATTGTTCTTGGACATCGGCTGCTACCCACCGAAGTGAGCATATCAAAGGCCAACCACCGTCGAACACTAAATTGCTTCACAGTTACAATGATTCTACGCTTCGGGGACCACTTGCCGTAGGCAGCCCTAGATTCCGCAGCATTTCTAGTCGAGACAGAAACATGATCTTCCCACTACTAGACTATTATCTTCCATAAGTTAGGGATAAGGTGATGAAAGTGATGCTTGAACAGTAACAAAGCCATATAAAGAGCCAGTTTGATCTGACAGAAAGCATTTTAGGCAAGTACCTTATCACCTTTGACCGAATTTCCCAACAAATGCCAACATCTGGGCATCTCCTGCGCCTAATTGCATTATTTGGATCACCAAAATGTAGATGAGCAGCGCCACGTGGAATCAGGCGCCGAAGGGATGAGCGACAGGGTTCCGTTCCCTCAAGCCATGGCCAAACTATGGGGATTCTGTTTGGTTGCCGCCACCAAATGTGAAGAGAAGACCTATGAGCTTCACCACTCAATCAGGCTATCGATGCATGTCTGTAAATCATTGGGAGAACCGAATAAATGGCGTGATGCCGCGCTAGAAGTGATGTCAGGAATTGTCCAGAAATACGAGCATGAGCTGCGGGATCTTTGCCGAACTTCACCGGGCTTTCCCTACTTCAGGAATATAGGCATGTGAGCAAAGAGATGATACAGGACTGAAGTCGGAAGCACTGTAGTTGGCTTTAAGGAATATTCGAGTAATCAGGACTTGTCTGGGTTGCAAGTCTGGAATTGTATCTGACTGTTTGAGAGGGTATTGGGAACTAGTGTTGAACACAAGAGGCTGAAAAGACTTTCTTATATATCTTCTAAGGTGCTGATAAGGGCGAGTGTCAAATTAGAGTCAATATGTTACAGGATGGAACAAATGCAATCAGCACTGGAGGAGTTGAGCGGCGCTGGGGATGTTGAGCAGTGCTGATAGCACTCAGGAGAATGTTGTTAGATATTGGAAGTCCCATGGCGGTAGCAGGACTGACGAAGAACAGGACAAGAGGGAATCTTGGAAGAGACTTTTCAGATATACGATGAAAGGTTGTGTATATATAGGACACCTCCAGTACGCTAGACAAGTTTAGGACCACAGGAAGCTCTTATAGGAAAGCAGAGTAGGATTAGTCAAGGCGAATCAGAAGGTGTCAGCAAGAGGGATAGAGGAAGGAGAAGTTGTGGGAAGGCCAGGGGGGCCACAATAGGACAGGGAGACACAGCAAATGCTGAAGAGAGAACGATAAGACTAACTGTGGAAGAGTTGGGGAACAAGTCAATTGTTTGGCCCTGTTTGGCATGCTATGATAGAAAAGGATGCCATATTTCTGAAAACAGCATATTTTTTAACAACACAACCATACTAACTCAATAGTGGAATTTTGGGCCATAGTCAGTGAGAGGGAATCACACTGCTCATTCAGGCAAAGATAATAGACAATTCAAGTACCTCTAGTTAAGCTGTTTGAAAAGTAGTGATGTTGCAAAATACAACATCTCTGGGACCTCCATATTTCCCAACTTCACTAGTTTTCCAACCTTTCAATTAGAAGTAGTAAAATGGTCTTTTATTTTTATCAAAAAGAATCCGCAGTCATTCCCTCTCTGTAACTATATACCCCGAAATTCTACTATTGAGTTAGCATAGTTGTGTTGTTAAAAAATATGCTGTTTTCAGAAATATGGCATTTCTTTTATCGTGGCGTGCCAAACAGGGCCTCAGTCTCATGGCGCGCAGGATACAAATTTACGAAGCTCATAAGGAATTCAATCAGGCAGCGGTGAGTTTCCATAAAAGATATTAGTTTGAATACCTGCATCTCCAGGCGCGCTAAAAGACTCCTGAACGCACAGCAACCCCCAAAGACAAGGGAAAGAAGATAGTGGATGAATCAGAGTACAAAGGCATCTGCCCGAGCCATTCCGAAGGGTTTCTGCGAAGAATCAGCAGGCAAGCCATGGCCACGTCTTCGAGGTCGGAAAGAAATCGTTTCGGCAAGCTCACCTTCTATAATTATGCATTATTTGGTGGGCCAACAAGGTAGTCCGGACAACAAGGTACTCATGTCTCTGAGCCAAGAATGGGCACCTGATTGGGAATAGGTCATATGTTCCCAAATGTAGTAAAGTGTTCATGCTATTTGAAAGACAGTGAGAGTGATGCAAGATGCCAGTAACTGGGCGGGGTAATATCAATATACGATAAAACTACCATGGGGGTTCTCAAAATTCTATAAACAAGACCTGTTCTCATCCAATGTAAGTGCTTTCACTCAATTGCGCCAAATTCAGAAATTGATACTATGAAGAGTGCTATGACAAAGGGAAAGAGCCTTACCATGGCTACGTGTGGTGCCATTATTGCTCTCTACAAGTCTGAGGTTGTGGAGGTGATAACAGGTTCAATGCCTAATAGGGCAGTTCACTACTGGGAGGGGGGGGGACGGGGGAGAAGAGATTGGTGAATTCACGGTATTTATTTCCACTACTCGGTGGTGTCTTAAATTTAACCTCTACTCAAAGCAGCATCAAGACTTTACCATAAATGGATCTGGGGAGGCTATTCCAAAAGAGGTGCCCATTCTTGGCTCGGAGAAGCGAGTAGATTGCTTGAAATCCACCGATCAGACCACTAAAGCCTGTAGAAAACCCAATCACCCGAGCCGGATAGGCAGCCTGAGACTGATGGCCTGGACTCTGGTAGTGGGCTTCAATTTCCTATCGGATTCCCATACGCACAAGAGAGCAGCAATGTTGAACACTACAAGATACAAAAAGTAGATCAACCAATTGACAAATGGGGCACCACATCCTAGTCAACCATCGGGTATAAAGACCTGTAGGTGCAATCCAGCACCTTTCAGTGCTAAACCACCTGCAAGACCCCCGGAATACGGACCCCCCCAGACACCGCTGAGGCGACTGAAACACGATCCTTGAGCCCAACAAACTTTAGTAGTTACTACACCGATACAGGATGATAAAAATCGCAAAAGGAGAGGAATACACCGCAGGATCGTTTGTCTTACATTCTCCGCTGCACGGTCTGAATTGGGGCGAACACAGTTTGGTGCAAGGTTGGTAGCGTACTCGTGAGCGTCCAAAAACTCACGCTTGGAAGGCGCCGGGGATCTGACCTCGGAGAGGCCCTCACGGGTGTCCACAGAAACTTCCTGTCTTGGTGCTTCGTCGTGAATGCTCCCAAGAGCGCTACCGGGAGAGGCCGCGGCTGTGCGGGTAGCATCTGGACGAGCAGCACCTGGATAGGGGCTTGTCCGGCCGTAGTACCATAATCAGCAAGTTTGTCAAACGCCGATAAGACATGGATTTTTAGAAGGGCGAGGTGCTACTCGGCATGTTCGCACGATGGCTTGTTTGTTCGCATAGTCTCCAGGAGCGTGCTTTAGGTACTTGCACGCTATGGCTTGGGGCGCACTTTGGATTCCGCCGCGCAGTTTGGCTTTTCGGAAAACGATTTTGTTGCGAGAATGCTCGGGAGTCGCAGAGTAGTGCATCCGTCGGAAGGATGACGGAAAGGGTGGACGGAAAGTGGAAATGCTGGAAGGGAACCGGAAAGGCCACAAGGAGGGCGGGAGGCTACGGGTAGACGAAGTTTGGCTTTCCTTTCTTAGCTTTTCTTGCTTGCTCATATGTGGGAGACTGCTTGGGGGATTAGAACTTTGTTCTTTTTGTAGTTATCATATACTCCTCTCTTTGTTGCTTAGCGAGTTGGACGCCCGATAGAGGGGTTGGTGAAGTGAAGAGTTTTCCATCACCGCGCTGTGAGTTGTGCGATCGTTTTACTTGAGAAGTCTTGTCCTTTCATTTCGCAGATAGTCACTCGCCCGTTTAGTTTCGCTGTGCCATTCCCTCGTACCGGCGCTCATACCCCGGTTTGTTTCGTTCGTTCGCTGTTTTGCTGTCCGTTAGTTTGTTTTTCAATATCGCCATAGCCTCCGGCGATCCAACGTTTAAAATGAATGGGGAAAATGATGTTACCCAGCCACCCAACAACTCGCAGTGGGATAGACATCAAAATTGGGCCGGATTGCAATAGCAAAACAGGTAGAGAGTTGCAGGGAACGAGATCCAGTACGTGCTGCCGTAGGGGGATGGAGCATGTGGGGAAAGGGAAGAAGGCAGATGGACGGTGGAGCCGTAGTGAGCCAGTGGTAGGAAGGGGTGGCACTGACCTGAGGTACAGTATGATACAACGATGTAGTGAGACAGCCCAAGGCGAGTGAGAGCAGAGAAGTAGGGATCGGAGGGGAGGCGGAAAGCGGGGGAAAGACCAGACCTTTTTACTGCAGGAGAGCGCATATGCGTCTTGGCCTTCTCTGTTGTCCCACACAACTCTACTCGCCAAAATCAAAAGTCTGTTCCCGACCGTTACCTAGGCGCAACGGACCTAACCACACCCGGCTTGTAAAGGTTGGAGCTCACCTCTCATAGCCTCTGGACATCACTAGCGACCCTGTTTTCGAGTGATATTTTATTCATGGGCAATGCTATCAAGACAATACTCCTGTCATCGGGGCTACCAGATCGGATTAATTGCTGTTTTGCTACATGCCGTAACACCTCGGGGACAGCCTTTTGATTTTGGCGAGTAGCTATTATCCTCGCCTTCATGCGAACCCAAAGGATAGGTAACTGGCTGGTGAAGAAATTCAGAGATTGTTGACAATTGCAATATCGTGCTAGTGCGATATAAGGTCCTCTCCACGCAAAGGTCCTTGTAAACGCAATCCTTAGCGGACCCACATTGATCCCAAAACACGATGGATAACTGTGTTTGCCTCCCTCTACTGTCTTCGCAATTTCCTTAAACAGAGAAGCGGAATAAATTACTAATCTAGCTCAGTTCCCCGATCCCTCTAAGCCGATACGCAGTGTTCCCAAGCGTCCAGTCCGTCCGTCCTTCGCTTCAGACGGGACGGACACCGGTTTCTGGAACTCTGCCCTAGACGGACGCCCGTCCTGTGGTCCGTCCTAACCACTACCCGGGACGGCCGGCCGGGCCCTATAGGTGTCTCACCTGCAAATGGCCCTGCAGATGAGAGCCGGGCCCTACGGATGATGGCCAGGCCCTGCGAATTATGACCGGGCCTATTAGATGACGGCCGGGCCCTGGTAAGGATCGCCAGAAGATACCATTTGTATTAAGACTCCCGGGCCCGGGCGTCAACCCCTCGGACGGCGGTCTTTATCAAAGACGGACGCTATGCCCTGCCGTCCTTACCCACCCTGCCCGGGACGCCCGGGACGGTTGGGAACACTGGGTCCATCCTTAAAAGTATGTTGCCCACTGACTGGCAAACGAAAAGGCTAACAAAAGAAAGGAAAAAACTCGCGGGACCCATAGCCTCCGGCCATCCTTTTAGCCTTTCTGCTTTCTTTCCCCCTTTCCCGTCTTCCTCCGGCGGATGCATTTCCCCAACCTGAAGACTCCAGCACATTTCCGGGGCCGAAGTGCATTCCTGGGAAACGCAACCTGGGTGGACGGAAGCCATAATTTCCCAGAAGCCAGCTGGACGCGAAACCAAAAGCTCGTCCCGTGCAATTATGCTAACAAACAAACAAACTATTGTAAGCATGCCGCGCAGCCCGGCACGATTTCCGATATCATCCTCCCTTACTGATGCCATGACGTGTTGACAGACCTCTGATGGGAGCATATAATACCACTTTCTTGTGCCCACCTCCCGTCCACAACTCCCGTGACAACACCCTCCCACCAAGTCTCCCTGTTGATCCCCCAAACATGGAACACGTACTACAGCCTATAATGCCTGTCTCACGAGTCCCGTCGGCGGCCGAGCCATCGAATCTATTCCTCAACCCCCTCCTAGCCCCGCCGCACGGCCCACCCCCAGACCCACTCCCCAACCCTCCACCGCGATTGCGTCGAGCCCTAAGTGCGCTATACAGTTTGTTCAACCCATTAGGATGCCCCGGAAAATATCATACTGTTTACTAACATAGTAGACCTTTGTCCTGCAGGGTTCCTAAGGGACCAGGGCTCTGCACTGAGGGCGGTGGTGACTCTTGCTACTGGGTTCGGTGTGGTGAGTATGATGGGGACTGAGAGCCCAGACTCGCCCCCAAACGACAAGGAACTCCAACGGGAGTTCTGGGCTCCAGAGCAGGAGTTGGAGGAGATGGGGGCTGCCTTGGCCATTCAGACCTTCCGCAGCGAGTTTTGCAAGGAGCCGCTCGGGGGCGGGACCGAGTCAGCCCACCCCGGAGTTGTTTCCCCTGGGATGGAGTCGGATGGCCTGGGACCTGGCCAGTAGGGGCAGCTTGCTGCATTGCCAGGCGGTGGAGAACCCGGCGACACTGGGGGGGTTTTGTAGGAGAGGGTGGTGGACGAGGCCCAGGCGGGGTTGTGTAGAATTCGGGGAGGGCGGGGCACGGGGGCCTAAGGGGGTGGTGTAGAGGTAGGAGGGGGTGGGGAAGGGGTGAACAGGTGGGGTTATGTATATGTAGGAGGGGGTGGAGCAGGTGGGGCTCCTGTGATTATTCGTTGTACTTTTTATTTCCTGTATTCTACTCTTGTATAATTATTAAACGTACACCCACTCATCCGAAGTGTTTGTGATCTGAGACCAATTTCCCGGTGGGAGTCTCCTCAGGCGGGGAGACTGAGCACAACCCGATATTGACAACACCAACGGGCTTACTTTCCCCAAAGGGCCCTGCAACAAATATTTTTTTCTGACCGTATTGCTTATAGTTTATCGTGAATATTCTCACCACGGAATCCAAAAAATTAAGAATGTAGACCATCAGTCTAGTTACAGCCGCACCCCGCTATCCCGGATGGCCAAAATCCGGAGAATCTGTCCCGAACAGCGAGGGATCCGGGACAACGGGTGAGGTTTTGGTGGAAATAAATCCAAAGCTCACAGAAATTCATACGGGACAGCCAGGTATCCGGATTATCGAGATGCGGGATAGCGGGGTGTGACTGTACTAGAGGCCACTCGGAAGAATTCTTTTTTTTTGCTCAAAGGATTCCGTTGTCTAGTGATTTATTTCTCTCATGCGCCGTGTTGTTTTCTCCTATAATCCCTTAGTCTCTTAGTATGCGCACGGCCACCCCCCCCCCTGAGGAGGCTCCGATCATTCTTCCGGTAAATGAGTTACCTATATCCGGGACGGGCAACCGATACGCCATCATCCCGGCGAAGGCGATTCCATGAAAAACTGTTCTTTATCCCTCTTCTTACGGATAGTACAGCATCGCTATTTTCTGCAGCCCGCGTCCCCGAAACCCCAGGTTATCCGAAATTGCTCTGCAGACCGAAAGCTTTCAGTCGCAGTCTCTCCGGCCATCTGGCGGATATTAAATTCAGAGCGCCCTCGCAGTCCTACACCTTCTTTTACAGCTTCACAAGGGGTTGAGTGAAGGGTAGAGGGTGGGCACCACTCGTATCCCGTCGTTCGGTTATTACAGCATGCAATTCTCTTATGATTCCACCCTTTTTTTCCCTCTTACCCACTAATGGCATTCAGCTCCACCTATCTCATCTCGATGGGAAATTCTCGCGGGTTCTTTCCCACCGCATTTACGCTCGCCGATGCAAGTTTTGTTGAGTTTAAAAAGACCGTGGCCTGGTTATTCTCTTGCTGCTGGGCTGTTTCGTCTCTGTTCGCGCCAACATTGGATCAAGTTCAGGTCTTGTGGGTGCCTCGACTTGAAGGTGGGGCCGCCTTTTACTGGTATTGAGAAATCAAGCTGGTAATTGGCCAATGCCTCTTGCAGGGCAGGGCACACCACCTCCGCAGCCGGTCTTGTCCCCGTATCAACATCATTTGATAGGTTTAAAAATCTGTTTCCAGCAACCGCCGCTTTGGGGGGTTCAGGAATTCATAGCTTCTGCACGATAGGGTACATTATTCTGTTTGGAGGCTGTTGTCGTCTCATACATCCCGTGGCGTAGCGAGACATGCGCAAAATACGAGTCACCGCCATGATCGCGACAAAGCCCAACCAATTGCCGGTAGCTCAACCGGGCAGGCGTACGGGTACTTTGCAATTCCCGGGCTCCTCCGGGCCTAGCCTGCTTCCGTAAGACTTCCGAATAGTGAGTTTCAACCTTCATCCCTATCTCGAGAAGACCTTAATACCCTCTCCAGTGCTCTCACCCCAAATTTTATCCTTCGCTGGATTTGAAAAGCCCTAACCAGCACTATACCGGATGGCAGGGAACTACCAGGGAGGGGAGGGGACTGCCGGGGGACTGCGGGGAACAACATATCATACCGCGAACAACCTCATAAGAGGTTCAACCCTTGTGGCTTACAAGGACATTTTGTTCATAGGATCCCAGGCAGTAGGACGGTAGTCCTCCATTGTCTATCTAGTCCTACAGCTCCCCGGTGTAGTTCGTCACGGCACTGCCGAAAAGACGGACGACCGGCTATAATACACCCCGTCCTTCCCCAAAGACGGACAGACGGGACGGTTGGGAGCACAGAGCGCAATAGACTCCTCTCGATTCCGATTAATGGGCATCGGACATGGTGCTCTATCCGCTCACTTAAAAATCTCTATCCCCATCCTCGCTTAGAGATGCCATGACGCGTTTACAGACTTCCGATGGGAGCATATAATACCCCTTTCTTGTGCCCCCTCCCTTCCACAACTCCCTGATACCACGATCCCACCAAGGTTCCCTGTTATCACGCAAAAATGGATCAAGAACTACAGCTTATACTGCCCTTCTCACAAGTCCAGTCGGAGGCCCAGCCACCGAATCCACTCCTCAACCCTTTCCCAGCCCCGCCGCACTGCCCACACCCCGGCCCACTCCCCAACCCTCCACCGCGATGGTGTCAGACCCTAAGTGTCCTATATGGTTCGTTCAACGCATTGGGATGGCCCGGAAAATACAGTTTGCTAACGTGGTGTACCTTTGTCCTACAGGGTTCCTCAGGGACCAGGGTTCGGCACTGAGGGCGGCGGCCACTCTTGCTGCCAGGTTCGGTGTAGCGA